GCCCTCCTTTCCAGCCTCAGCTCTGTGGCTGCTGTTGCAGGGGAGAGACTCCCCTCCTTCCCAACCTGCCTTGGTGGGGGAGAGAGGGTACATCATCGCATTAGAAAGGTAAGACTACTGATATTAAAATATGAGTTGTGTGCTTTTATTTGTAGAAGAAAAGAATGTTTACTTTTTTTATATAGTGCTTTTATACAAAGCACTTTACAATAGTTAGCTAACGGTACAAACAATATTTGGAAAGATCATTAAGTGGTCCTCCGAGACCCTCAGCAATCTTCAAGTGGTGCGCGAAAAAAATAGTTTGAGAACCACTGCCCTAAAATATGGCCTTGGGTATTCTCAAGTTAGGGTGACCAGACAGCAAATGTGAAAAATTAGGACAGGGAGTGGGGGGTAATAGGAGCCTATGTAAGAAAAAGACCCTAAAATCGGGACTGGTTACCCTATCTCAAGTCGGACATATGAATGAGATGCCTAGATTAAGGCAGCTGAGTTTTTATAAGCATGCTTTGAATGCCAGACATCCAACAACAATTAAAGATTTCAATATTGGGAATCCTGTCCAACCACTTGATCCTGCAAATAGACTGAAGACCACATGTATGGAACTGAACAAGTGTGCTAATGTGGCAGCACTACGTTGTCATCTCACAATCATATAGAAGCACTGTAAGCATGACTGCTTGATAGACTTTTAGCTTCGTGTTTATCTTGACATTCCTATTGTTCTATAGGTGGTGTGACAGCATTCCAAATGCAGGGCTGGCCTTGGCTATGCAGTAGGTAATTTCATTATCAAATGTGGCATTCTGTGAAATCATACACCTAAGGTAGCAAAACTTCTCCGTGGACTTGAGAGAGCAGTTGTTAACGTTGGGTAGACATGCACATACCCCAGCACAAATTGGTACAGTACGTCAGTTTTCTTTAGGCTGATTGCGAAATCAAAATGATTGCATGAGCAAAGTGATCAGATATAAATTGAATGTCATCAACCGAGGGAGCAACCAGCACACAGTCATCAGCAATTAAAAGGTCTTTAAAAAGTATATCTGCCACTTTTGTGTGAGCACAGAAGCATTGCAGATTGAACAACTTCCCATCTGCATGGAACTGGATAAATACTCCTGTCAGTGTCATGAAATGCATCCATCAGCATACCCCAAAAAGGATGGAAAAGAATATGGGCGCCAGCACGCAACTTTCTTTGATGGCATTGGTGACTAGAAAGGGTCCGATATCATATTTCACAGTATGACCTGTTCAAGAATTTTCCCAGCAACAGAGTAGGGAAATGCCAGGGTCATTATCGCAATTTGCCCTATCACTTTTATGTTTATAGATGTAGATGAGGCTGGCAGCCTTGAGATCCTGTGGCACCAACTCTTGCTCCTAGATAATGTGGAAGAGCCATTTGAGGTGCTTTGCATAGTGGTAGCCACCGTGCTGGAATGTCGTCTGGTCCAGGTGCTT